GTAGAAGCGGCCACTTTCTACTACCCTCTAACACAAAGGTCACATGGGCAGAAAATCCAGCTGATTGTGAGCAGAGATAACTCAGGATGACATATGGTCCCAATAAACACAGGCTTAGCAAAGAGTAAACAATCAGGCAGACAAGAGGCTGAGGTGGGCCTAGGGATTTTTGAAAAAGAGTTTCTGGGAGGAAAAGCCTATTCAGAACAGAAATATAAAAAGTGTTATAATTAAAACTCCAATAATAATGGAAGGTTTTATTTAAAATACAAACAAAAGCCTATTTTTTTTCCTATTTAATGGTGAAGGTAAAATTTATAGTGGAGTGACTCTCAAAGTGAAAATTTTTTAGTTATTTTTTTTATTAAGAAACCCCAAAATTTGGAATATAAGAAAAATGATCTAGACTCCCACTGTCCTGCCAGAACCTGTGTTGACATTTTGACATACCTCCCTCTAGTCTTTCCAAAAGCCTTCTGATATTTCTGACAAAATGGGATGGAAGAGGGGAGCCTGAAGTCTTCTGTAACAACCCCTTCCCCTCCCAACTAAGCAGCCGCTGTAAGAACACAGTCCTCCCAGGAGAGGACTGCCGACCTCCGTGGACAGCCGATGCTCCACCCCATTCTCCACACTCTACTCTTCACCTTAGCCATCAGGATAGGGGGATGGACTTATCTTCCTCTGAAACAACAAAAACTCATTAGAATCTGTAACACTGCATATTTTCCATGAAATAAATGTCTACAAATAGACATCAATTCATATGCCTTCGTTAAGAATGGGGGGAGGGATTCAAATGCAATCACTGTGGCAATCAAAGGTCTGGGTCTTCTTTACAATCATCAAAATGGATTAATTGGGCCATTCAACTATTCGAGTGAAAAAAAACTCTCTGAGGCCTAATGTTTTATATAAGAGAAGACTATGAATGCCAGAAATGTTTCGTTTTTATAATTTGATTCTAATTTCTTCTTCTTCAAGGAAAATAGTTCAAAACTGCTTATTCTCATAAAATGGAATTGAACACGTAAAGATCAACTAATTCAAAATAAAATTTGATATTGACATGATGGAAATAAAAAGCACGGGTGTTATCCTCATTAAAGATGTGTCATATTTTGCATTCTTATTTCAAGAGTCTGTAATTATAAAATTAATAAAAACCAACAACTGAGTACTAAAGGCCACGTATGTTGGGTTTAAGAAGGTATCAGTGTAACCTAGAAATACGCGAGCAGAATGATCCAATAATTAGAAACATCAAGGTCTGGCTGCTGGTTTGGGCCACATGTAAGCAGCAAAGAAAGGAAAGTAAGGAGGAAGCACCCGCTCCAGCCACAAGGGAAAAACGCAACTTAGACCAACCAGCATTTAAAAAAACAAATACACACCCTAATCGAAAACTAAAATAGTCATTGAAATATAGCATTTTTGAAGTTACAAGGGATTTCGCCACCGAAGCTTCCCAAAAGCTATATTCAATTTGGTTAATGAAAAGCTATTCTCGTTTTCTTTTCTAAAGAAAATAAAGATTCCCTCTAATCAGTCTTCCTCAAGAATTACTAAAACAGAATATATACACACACACAGATATATCCTATACTATTGAGAAGGAAAAAACCAATCTGAGGTGACACTGGAATAAGGTCATTCTAAATAAGAAAAGATGTTAATAGAGAATCTGATCTTACTTTTAATCAAAGTTTTATTTTTAAAACAGCCTGGAAATTGACATTCACTTTAAAAAAGTTTAAATGAAAACTGCATTAACTTACAAATGCACACTTGCAACTGTCACATATCCTTTTAAACATATACGTGTTTGTGCGCATACAAATAAAAGATATCATCGGCCAAGGAAGAGCCAAACAGTAAAATGATCATCCACCTACTCACGCCCTGGATTCAACATTGCTAACACCCTGTCAAACCGCTTTCTCTATCTAGACAGACACATATTCTGTTTTTTTCTGAATCACTTACACATTACAGATACCCTTCTCCATTGCTTGCCGCATACTGCACTGCTGCAACAGCCAACTATATTCATTGGATCCTATCACCAATATGATTGCCCGATCAATTTTTCTAATAGACTTTTCGTGATGTCACTCTTCTAATCAAGCGCCTACGATGGCTTCCTGCTATTCCAATTCTAGATTTTCCCAGTCGTCTTCTCACCTTCCCTTCCCTGACCTTCCATTATTTTGTGACAAGGAAAGCCTGCGTTTACCTTGAACACAGCCTTCTGCCTGAAGTGCCCTCTTCCTGCTGACCTAAATCCCGAACATCTTTCAAAGCTAAAATCCCACCTCAACTCTTAGGAAGCCTTTCTTCGCCAACAACCCCAAGCCATGTTGTTTTTGTTATTAAAGGCCCTACTATTCCAGTCACAACTGGAAACTAACACTTAACTCTCCTCTAATCACTTCACGTCTGTACTTACACGGTATCCCCAGATTGACTACCAACTTCTTGTTCCCATTTAGCACTGTGCTCAGCTCAAAAAATTTTATTCATTGGTTAATAACCAATAATTTCCTAGTTATACAATGCCTTGTTATAAAAAAAAAAAAAAGGAAAAAAGTCTTATTGCTCTCAGGGTACCACTTTAGTACCACATTTCGTATGGTGACCAGCCCACAATTCAGCGAACATCGTGAGTTTTGGGCCTACGTCTAAAGATACACTGGACTCAGTCACATACTCAGGCACAGAGCTGTGCAGCCAGTGGTGTTGGGCTCTGCAGCTATAAGGTCAAGACGAGTTGGGACTGGGGAAGCTGAGTTTTATGGTGGTGCAGAAACCGTGAGCTGAAAGAGCAAGCTGTTGGCGGAGAGAGATGCACAGAGAGAAGTTACAGGTAGAGAGAGACTGCCTCTAAGAGTAGGCTTGGTTCCTGGCAGCTTTCCAGTTCCCACAGCAGTCCCCGGAGTCTGGCTGTGCTGAACTTCCTACCCTCCGCTCCACGCGCTTCCCTGTTAGATGCTACATAACTGGCCCCCTAATCCTGACCTACCTTGTTTTCTGCTCCTTCGGGGGTCACAGGAAGCTTAACCCAGACATTCATCATTATGAAATAACTAAAGCAGACGACTCTCCAGGTCCTCCTCTCAGATGCTAATAACCAGTACTCTTGGATAATTCCCTTCTCCACTCCACGCTGCAGGCCTCCCATCTACAGAACAAGACACGGAAGGATGAATGTCTGGCTCCCAGTGGTACAGTCCACGGTCAGAATGTTTCCCTCAATACCACACTTTTCCTGTAGTACAAGCATCCCTCGTTTTATGTGCTATATACTTGCCTAAATCATATGATTTCTCCTGAAATATATTCTTCAGATTTAGAATATAAATGGATACGTACTAATATAACCACATAATATTTGCAATGTAGATATTATACACTTTTTGGTGAAATTTAATGTCTGAATTTACCACTAAACCATAAACTCCATGAAAGCAGAGACCATGTCTGTTTCTGCTTACCACTTTATATCTAGTGCCTATCACAGGGTCGGGCACTACTAACAGCTTAACAAATATGTGCTCAATGGATTACTGACAGGTATAAAATTTAGCTTAATAAGGAATGGTCCTGGGGCAGTTATTCCTAAGACCCATCTTAAACATAAAAATGGAACTTCTGATTCTCTTCCTGGCTCAGCTGCCCCCTCAGCCCTGTCCCTCCCCCCACCCCAACCCCAATCTTCTCCTCCCCATATTCTCGACCTCAGTAAATGGTATCATTTTTCACTAAGTTACTCAAAGTAAAATCTATGAGTAATCCTTAATCCCTCCTTCCCTCCACTTTCCACATGCAACCTGTCTGCAACATATCTTGAGTCTCTCCTCTTCTATCTCCACCCCGCCCCTCTACTGTCACCATTCTCTCCTGCTTCCACTGCTGCACCCTGCTTTTACTCCCACCCCACTACAATCAATTTTTTTCTTTCAGTAGCCAGAGCCATCTAAAATATAAACCAAAGCACACACCTCTTGCTTAAAAGTCTATTGGTTTCTATCTGCACACGGAACAAAATCTACAATCCTCAGCACCATCCACCCCAGCCCACCCACTCGTGTGCCATGCTGCAACCACACGACCTTCTGCTCCTTCTTGCCTTAGTGCCTACACACCTCCTCGTCCCCAGCCCTGCCTCTCCTAAGGACAGCACCTTCACAAGTCTTCAGATCTCCGTTCTGAACCTTACCTTCTCCATCACTTCTCTTGCCATCACTATGTAAAGAACCCCTGCCCCTCTACTCACACAATTCCCAATGTTACCATATGGTTTCCATCATAGCATACTTATTCCTAACAGAAATCATTTTATTTATCTGTTCATCATCTCTCTCTCCTCCACCAGCCTGTAAGCTCCTTGAGAGCAGCAACCCCGCACCTAGAACAGCGGCGGATATATAATCAGCACTCAAGAGTTTCTTGAATAAACAAACCTCTGTAGTATCTGTTTTGCTCTTTTAAACCACATTTATAACATATAAAAAACCACCTGCTTGACATCGTCTCACTTCTAGACACAGCACACGGTGAAAACTACGATTAATGAAAGACTGCTTAAGTCTGCGGATACAAGACAGGAACTTTTAGCGGCACACCAGAATAGACTGTTAGATCTGGTCTATCACCAATCCCAGCGCTTTCTACAGTGTGCGCCAAGAGACTTCTTTGGGAAGAGAACCTGCTTCTTATTACTTTCCTCCAGATAGGCGCTTGCTTTTACTAAAAATTCCTTACATCCTTTTTCAGGATGCTAGGCTCACTATTACACGATTCCTCAAATGCCAACTTACTGAAACCTAGCCCGTAGTGTTACACCTTCCCCTCGTTCATACAAGACATCTTGAATAGAAACAGAGCTACCATCAGGTGCCGTGACACATGGATCCCGAGATCACAGCATAAGGTCACACCCCACCCTCCGCAGGGAACATCAGAAGCGTTGGGGGATCACTCACTCTTCCTCCCACCCGATGGTGACGTCATCTCTCCCTCTGCACCCACAGCCTTTCACCTCCTCTGGCCCCTTCTGCCTTGAACTCGAGCCGCTTGCGTCCTGCTGTGCCCGCCTCCCAGGCGGAGAGCTCCCGCGGGCAGGAGTCTGCACCGCCGAGAGGCCAGCACGCGGGGACTCTCCGCGAGCACGGCGCGCTTCCCGCCCGCCCTCGGTTCGCTCCTGCGGCGAGAACGAGCCCCGCCTCCGGGCCGCCGAGAGCAGGGGCGCCGGCCTCCACCGCCTCCCGCCGTCTGGGACCCGGCGCCGTCTGGGGCGCGGCGGCGGCGCGGCACTCGGGAGGCGGCGCCCAGCCCAGGGTCGGTCCCGTCCTGGCGCGGCCCGGGCGGCGGCCGCGCGTCCGCAACCCCACGCGCCCTCGCGACAGGTCGGGGCGAAGGCGCGTCACGCGCTCCGGACAGAGGCCCGAGCGGGGAGGCCGAGCGCCGGCGGGAGCCCTGCCCGGAGGCGACAGCGCGAGGCCTCGGACTCGGGCGCCGCTCGCACTCCGGCAGACGGCGGGGCGGCGGACGCGAGGGCGGGGCGGTCCTCGCCCGGCCCGCCCAGCACGCCCCGCCCGCTCGGACCTCGGGACGCGGGGTCACCCCGCGGGGCCGGCCCGGGGGTCGCGCGCACCCCCGGCCCCTGCCCGCGCCATCTTGGAGCGCTGAGGCGGCCGCTGCGGCCGTCGCTCAATCGCAGTTCCCGGGCCAGGCCCCATGACCCCTCCACGACCCCTTCCACGGCCGGGAGCCGCAGCAGCAGCGCGCCTCGCGGGAAGCTCCGCACGGCAGCCACGTCCTGGCCGCGCTCCGGAGCCGCGGGACACCCGCGCCAGCCGGCCGCCGCAACTGCCAACGAGCCCCGCCCCGGCCCCAGGCCTGCGGTGATTGGGCGCCGCTGCCCGCGAGCCCCGCCCCGGTCCCGGGTCTGCGGTGATTGGCCGCTGCGCGTGGGTTCCGCCCCTCAGCGGGACCGAGCTTGCTAAACCTGCTCAGGGCGCGACAGTGCCCGGACTCAGGCTCTCCGTGAAGGCCTGGTGTGTGGGGCCTTCTGCAGCCCGGTCCCGCAGCCAGCATTCTCCAAGAGGGGACTCAGAGGGTGGCCCAGCTGCAAGGGCCCTTAGAGCGCCTCTGCCACCTCGCGAGGTTTGCAGATGCCGTCACTGGGGCTCAGAGAGGGGACCGACCTAGCCAAGCTCACACTGCAAGTTCGCCTGAGGACTAGCTTGTGGTCCAAGGCTCAACCAGAGGGACTTCTCCCTTTCACATACCCGCAATGATCCTCTTACTATCCTTTCTGCCCAGACGCTGCCTCACACCCAAAGAAGGCGTGTCGCCCGGACAGCTGGGCCTCCCCTAAAATCTGAGGAGCTCTGCCGCAGACATCGTCCCCTGACAAGAGCCTGAGGCATGGATTCGCCACCGAGAGATATGGAGATCCTTGAACGTCAGGTTGAGTTTAGACTTTAAGAGCCAGTTTGGGGGTGGGGCCCCACTCCTCCCCTTACTCCGCAGCTACTGCGGGGAAGGTTTGAGAGGGTCCGCTGGCTGGCAAAGCTCACTGTCTCTCTCTCCCTCCCCCTCCCCTTGTCTGTCTCTGCTCTTGAATTAATACCGTTTTTCTCTCCCCTCCCTTTTTAAAAAAGCACCACCATGGTTAAATTTTTCAAATTCCTTAATATCGTTAAATATCCAGTAAGTGTTTACATTTTCCTTATTGTCTCATAATTTCCTTTTACAGTTTTTCAAGTTACAACCAAAGTCCATGTCCTGAAGTTGATTTCTCTCTTTCAGGTCTCTTTCTATCTATTCTCTGTGTTTTAAGTTTGCAAGAGGAAAACAGAATAAATTATGATAATCTTTGTAAACATCTGCTCTGAAGACAGCTCTCTGGCTCAGACTCTCTCGCGGGCCCCCGCTTTTCCTTCAAGATGCAATGATGTGCGGTTATTTAACATGGTGTCAGAGGTTCTCAGCGATTGGACCCAACCACGTTCTCCAGCTTCCTCTCCACGCCCTCCCTGCGCCCGTGCCACCATCCTGTCAGATCCTTTTACCTTCTCCCAGACCTCCCAGCTGCTTTCACCCCCTGTCACAACACGTGTCTCTGCCCAGAACCCCCCAGTTCCTGTGGGAACCGGTCTCAGCTGAGGGAACGGATGGTTGCTCTGGGCCCAGCTGTGCCCTGGAAGCGCTGAGCAGGAAATGGGCTCTGCGTAAGATCAGCACATCTCCCTTTACCTGGGACTGCCCTGGTCTTAAACCTGAAAGTCCCATGTCCCAGGAGCTTCCTTAGTACCAGGCAAAATGGAACACAGTCTCCTTAGCTCTCTGCACCTCAGAAAATGTCATAAGGGAATCCTGCAGGGGGCTTCCATATGGAAAAATAGGGTCACACAGGTAATAGCTACCACTCCCAAGGTAATGCAATAGGTGAGCTGATTGCGATCTTGGCTTTATACATCCTATGAGTTTTGACTAGTGTAAATGACATGTATACACCGTTATTATTTTTACTTTTTTACATGTGGCTATTAGGAAACTTAAAATTACACATGTGATTCCCTTTGGGGCTCCCGTTATATTTCTATTCTACCTACTGGTGTGATTATCTTTTATTCTAGACAAAGGCTAATGCTTAGAGATCAGTATGGCACTTTAAAAATGTTTCTCACCAATGATTTTGTCCTGAGTGCAAAGGAATCTTTCCGTATTTTAGATAAACAAGACCCATTGTACTTTGATTTGTGTTTATCTGGTATCATTTCTCTATCATTTTACTTTTAGCTTATTTCTTTATATTTAAAGTAGGTTTCTTTTTTCTATTTTTTAATTTATTTTTTAATTGAGATCACATTGGTTTATAACATTATATATATATTCAGGTATACATCATTATATTTCAACTTCTATATAGACTACACCGTGTTCACCACCAAAAGTCTAGTTTCCATCTGTCACCATACAAATCTTCCCTTTTATCCTTTTCACCCAACCGCCTTTCACCTCTCATAACCACCAATCTGTTCTCTGTATCTATGTGTTTGTTGTTGTTGGTTTGTCTTCCACACATGAGTGAAATCATATCGTGTTTGGCTTTCTCTGTCTAACTTACTTCCCTTAGCATAGTACCCTCAAGGTCCACCCACATTGTCACAAATGGCACGATTTTGTCTTTTTTATGGCTTAGTAGTATTCCACTGTGTATATAGACCACATCTTCTTTATCCATTCATCCATTAATGGGCATTTAGATTGTTTCCAAGTCTTGGCTATTGTGAATAATGCTGCAATGAACATAGGGATGCATATATCTTTTTGAATTAGTATTTTCTCTTCTTTGGATAAATACCCAGCAGTTGAAAGGCTGGATGATGTGGTAGTTCTGTTCTTAATTTTTTGAAGAATTTCCATACTGTTTTCTATAACACCTGCATCAGTTTGCATTCCATGAGCACTGTATGAGGATTCTCTTTTCTCTACATCCTCTCCAACACTTGTTATTTCCTGTCTTTTATCTGATGGGTGTGAAGTGATATCTCATTGTACTTTTGATTTGCATTTCCCTAATAATTAGTGATGTTGAGCATCTTTTCATGTACCTGTTGGCCATCTGCATATCTTCTTTGGAAAAATGTCTATTCAGATCCTCTGCCCATTTTTTAATTGAGTTGTTTGTTTCTTTGTTGTTGAGTTTTATGAATTCTTTATATATTTGAGATATTAACCGCTTATTGGATGTATGAATTCCAACTAGCTCATCTCAATTGGTAGGTTGTTGTTTTATTTTGTTGATGGGTTCCTTTGCCATGTAAGGTAGATTTCTTGTAGAAATCGTATAGTTGGTTGCTTTGTTTTTTGTTTTTTAATCTAATCTGAGACTATCTGTCTTTTAACTGGAGTGTTTAAACCACTCAGATTTGATATGGTTATCGACATGGTTGAGTTTAAATCTACTGTCTTGCTGTTTGTTTTCTCTTTGCTCCATTTGTTCTTTTTTCCATTTTCTACTTTTCCTCTTCTCCTACCTTCTTTTGGAGTAATGGAGCACTATTTTCATGATTTCGTTTTCTCTCCTCTGTTGGCTTATTGGCTCTACTTCTTTGTTTTACTTTTCAGTAGATACTCTAGGGTGCTTAGCATACATTTTAACTTATTACAGCCTACCTTCAAATAATAGTTATTGCTTCATGTAAAATGTAAGAACATGGAAACAGTATCCTTCCACTTTCCCCTCCCATCTTTCGTGCTAATGTTGTCATACATTTGCTTCTACACACTGTTACTATTTTGCTTTAAATAGTCAATTATTTTTTAAAAGATTATGAAAAGAGATTATACAGTGTCTTTTATATTTACCCACGCCTTAAGCATTTCTGATCCTCTTCATTCCTTTATGTAGATCCAGATTTTTCCCTGGCATCATTTTTCTACTGCCTGAAGTCCTTCCTTTATTTAACTTTTCTGATAATGCCAGTCTACTGGCAATAAATGCTCTCAACTTTTGTTTGTCTGAAAACAGCTTTATTTTGTCTTCACTTTTGAAAGAAATTTTCCTGGATATAGAGTTCTAGGTTGACTTATTTTTTCCTTTTCAACACTTTAACTATGTCATTCAGTTGTCTTCTGGCTTGGATAATTTATGACAAAAAGTCTTCTATAATTCTCATCTGCTTTTCTCTGGGTAACGTGTCTTTTCCCCTCTGTCTGCTTAAAGTTTTTTGGGTTTTGTTTTTAAACCACTGGTTTACAGCAATTTGATTAGAGTGTGCTTTGTGTGGTCTTTCTGCGTTCCTCCTATTTGGGGTATGTTGAGCTTCTGGGACCTGTGGGGCTGTGTTTCCTTTCCATCAGATTTGGAAATATTTTGGGTACTAATTCCTCAAAGATTTTTCTGCCTCTTCCGACCTCTACTTTTGAGATTCTAACTAAATGTAGTTAGATTAGTCACCAAGTCTCTGTTCTTTTTTTTTTTCTAGCTCGTTTCCTCTGTGTTTCATTTTGGATGGTTTCTATTGCTACATATTCAGGTTCACTCTTCTTTCCTCTGCAGTATTTCATCTGCTCTTAATCCTTTCCAGTGTATTTTCATTTCAGGTATATTTTTCATCTATAGAAATTCCCTTTATGTCTTTTTTTTTTTTAAAGGTATGCTTTTTGGTGAGGAAGATTGGCCCTGAGCTAACATCTGTTGCCAATCTTCCTCCTATTGTTTTTTTCTCCCCAAAGCCTCAGTACAAAGTTGTATATCTTAGTTGTAAGTCATTCTAGTTCTTCTATGTGGGATGCCACCACAGCATGGCTTGATGACTGGCATGTAGGTCCATGCCCAGGAGGCAAACTGGCAAACACCAGGCCACCAAAGTGGAGCATGTGAACTTAACGACTTGGCCACAGGGCCAGTCCCCCTTTGTGTCTTTTTAATCTTAATTTCTCTCCTCATTATATTCATGTTTTCCTTTATATTCTTATGCATATTTATAATAGCTAATTTAATCTCCTTGTTTAATTCTGTTGTCTCTGTCATTTTCATATGTTTCTATCGATTTATTTTTCTCCTGATTATGAGTCATATTTTCCTGCTTCTTTCCATGCTGGGCAAATTTTGATTGTGTGCCATACTTGTGAATTTTATTTTTGAGTGCTGACTTTTTTTGTGGGTGTATATTCTTTCCAAGAATGTTAGGCTTTGTTCTTCCATGCAGTTACTTGTGGATCTTCTGGGATTACCCATTTGTTTATTCAATATGACCATATTTTCCTTTAAGTACTTTAATATGTGTATAACAAGTGTGTTAAAGTCCTTGTCTGCTAATGCCAACATCTGGGTAATCTAGGTGATGATTTCTATTGACTGTTTTTAATTTAGGTAATTGGTTACATTTTCCCATTTTTTCACATGTCTAGTAAAGTTCCACTTTTTGCTGAACCTAGAACATGCTCCTTACATATGGGCATGGTCCCCACTCCCAATGCCTGGCTGTCACTTCAGCAGAAACATGGAACCGTGGAAACTATAAAAATAGAACCAAATGGAAATACTAGGTCTTTAAGAAAAGTACAATATGTGGATTAAAAATTCAACACACTGGAAATGGCAGAAGAAAGAATCATTGAATTTGAAACTAGATCAACAAATATTGTCCAATCTAAAGAACAGGGGGAAGAAAGATTGAAAGAAAATGAACAGATCTTCAGTGACTTGTGGGACCATATCGAGAGGTCTTATGTATGTGTAATTGGAGTCCCAGAAGGAGAGGAGAAAGAATAGGACAGAAAAAAATTGAAAGATATAGCTGAAATTCCCCAAATTTGGTGAAAAACATCAATATTCAGATCCAAAAAGCTTAGTGTATCCCAAGCAGGATAAGTACAAAGAAAACTTCAACCTAGACACATAATAGTCAAACTGTTGGAAATTAAAGATAAAGAGAAAACCTTGAAATAAGCCAGAGAAAAATGACAGATTAAATATAGGAAAATAATGAGACAGGTGAGAGCTAACGCTCATCAGACACAATGGAGGCTACTTTTACCCAGCCCCACTGCTACCACCCTGTCATCTCTTGCCTGGAATATTGCAATAGCTTCCAAACTGGACTCTTTTCTTTCACCCTTTACTCCCTAGGGTCTATTTCCAACAGTGCAATTACTGTGATCCTTTCAAAATGTAAGTCGGTTTCTGTCATTCTTCTCCTCAGAACTCTCAGTAAGTCTTCCCATCTCATTCAGAGAAAAAGGTAAATGTATTCCAATGGTTCTCAAGGTCTTTTATCCTTGCCTCCTCTTATTTCTCTGATCTCATTTCCTACTATCTCTGTCTCGTTCAGCAGCTCCAGCCTCTCTTGCTCTGTATCTTTCCTTAATTGCTCCATGTACCTCCTGCCTCAGGACCCTTGCCTTTGTCATGCCTTCTGCCTGGAATTCTCTTCTCCCAGACAGTGGTACAACTCTCTTTCTTCCATTTCAGGTCTTAACTCAAATGGCCTTCCCCCATTACCGTACTTAAAATTACAGCCCAACCCAACCCTCGCATGCCCTCTTTCACACTTTACTCTTTCAAGAGCCGCTATCACCTTCTAACCTCTTATATACATAGTTTACTTTCCTGATGTTGTTCATTGTCTGTCTCCCTGCTCCATGAGGGGAGGGATTTTTCTCTTAGACTATCTTCATTTCTTAATTGCTTCCTGCAATAGAATCTGGATCTCTCTGAGGAAGAGAGACTTTTTGATTAAGAGCATGGCAGGTTTTGTTGATTTTAATTAACTAGGACCCCATGCATTGTGTCTAGGTATTTATGCATAATAAATTTTTGAAGTTAATCTTTAATGGAAATAATTTTCCGGCTTTATTTAGCCTTAACACATTTTATTGTGGTGATTGACCTATTTTGATAAAGAACAGGTTCATTTTGAGGTCTTTAATGAGGACTTTGTGGTATGTGGTTTCATATGTATGTAATGAGCCAATTTTTTGAAATATTAATTTATATATTTTTTATTCCCAGTAATTCCTTCCCCAGAATTAAAACATGCGGGTAAGGCATTCATTTCATTGGGGATGATCATTAGAGTAGGAAAACAGACAAAGAGGACAATTCCTAGCTTTTGGTTAGATGAATAAGTGAAAAGCAATAAGATATATTGGAGTATTTGAGGAAGCCATTTGGTTTAAAACAAATTTGGCCTGACTTTGTTTTTCCAAAGGGTCCTAGCATGGCC